CCTTCTGATTGTAATGTTCGAGCCTGCATAGTTCATGAGGTGCTCGTTAATTAGGCTTCAAAAATAGTTTTGAATAAAGTCAAAATGTAAGTATCATGTAGTAACACACTTGGCATGCACCGACGCAACAGTGATGTTTTTGTCAGCGGTCCCCTCATGCTCACTGTCGGCGGATCGGATGGCGCAGCGGATAACTCGATGGATTCTGGATGGGACGACGATACGGGACTTTCAAGGATCGATCCTCTTTGTGGCAAACTTTTTGCATTTCTCAGCTTTCTATTCATTCGCGTTCTTGTGTGTGTAGCAGTGGAAATAAGCTAAGTATATATTTAGAGGCATTTTCTTCATTCTGATACCTCACAAACCAGCTCGTGCATGCCAAGTGTGTTACTACATGATACTTACATTTTGACTTTATTTAAAACTATTTTCGAAGCCTAATTAACGAGCACCTCATAAACTATGCATGCTCGAAGTTACAATCAGAACGGAGCCCATTAAGATAGTTAAAATCGCCCATTCTTGTCAAATTCTTTTCACTCAGTTTTTGACCTCCCAGAAACGCATAGCAAAAATGAAACCCATTTTTGTGATCCTTGTATGGACCCCTACAACAAGCAACAAACCATTTCCAAAAAGCGCGCCACGACCTGAAAAGACCTCCCTTGGAAGGGGGGTATATAGTTGCATGAAAGAGGCAAAATCACGCGAAAATTCAGCAACCGGAAAAATTTTTTCCCAACGCAGCGAATTTCTCTCGAACGCACATGCGACCCTCCCCCCTCTCTCAATAACCAAATACGACCCCCCTCCCCAGCGGAAAAGACAAATAAATTGTTTAACCCGAAATTCAAATTTTTTTGATCGATATCTAACCATAAACAATCCGACCCCCTATATAATTTCACACAACGACGCTGTACCCTGGCGGCAGACCGGCTCCCTCGCGGTGATCTAGATTCTGCGCAACGTCGCAACTCGAATCTCCCGACCAGTATCCATCTTTGGAGGGTCTAGATTTGGTCAAAATGGCATAATTAAAGAGTGCTGATTAAGGATAAAGTCGCCGGCGGTTTTGTGTCACATTATCTCCTTGAGAAATCAAGAGTGTGTCGGCAGGCTGACGGTGAACGAAACTATCACATTTTCTATCAGTTGATCGCTGGAGCTCCAGATGATTTGTACAAGAAGCTTCGACTCGCTGCTTCAGACAAATTCAAGGTTACTTGTTATTTTCTTCCCGGTTCTTCAATGATAATGCTTCTATCTCTTTTATTTCAGTACCTGAAGCATGGTACGACAAGCTTTTTCGTTGCGGTCCCGGCTCCAAGTCAAGAGTCAGCTCCGAGCGCCTCAGCGAACAGGTATGAAAGCCTCCAATTGCACTAGTCTGCTTCCATGAAGTGCTGCATTGATTGCGATTGAAATGCATATTCCACGGTTATCAGAGGGGCGGGGAAATGAGCGGAGGTTTACTTCACTTGAAAAACGAACGCGCCTGGGAAAGAGCCATTGAATGATCGTCTAGAAAATGGGGCCAATACAATTTTGCAGGCGCGCAAATCCGGTCTGCTGACCGATGCCATCGTTGACGATGCAGCTGACTTCTCTCATCTAGTTGATGGTCTTGGAAGAGCCGGACTCACCAAGGATGAGGTATAGTCGTACATTTATGATAAGAAAAACCCATAATGAAGTCGTATTTCCAGATCTATGATATATGGCGCATAATCGCAGGAGTGCTGCATCTGGGAAATGTTGAACTTTGATGAGAATCCTAATGATAATCGAGGTAAGGCTGCTCCTTTGAGATTCATCAGTTTCTTTCGGGGAAAAGAAATCGTTTGTACGGAAACACGATATCTTTTGGAAAGAGTTCATCGAGCAGGTAGGAGTTTTTCAAGGAAAGCGACAACTCTGGAAAAAGCCTTGGAAAAGTTGAAGGAAGTTGGAAGAAATTACAGAGTTCAGGGAGATGGTAAGTAAGGATGGGAAAAGGGAGGGGATCGTAAAAGCGGAAGGAATTTTGAGGAGGGAGAGAGGTCGCGCTCAGCAAATGCTCCCGCGCGTCATGGTGATAAGGAATTTGGCCGGTCAACGCCTCCTCCTTCAGTCGTTTACGGGTCCCATCAAACTGACTTGGTTATGACGGTATGTGGAGCACACATGAGCTAGTTTCAACCCCACCAACGGTGGGCGGCGCGTGCGCCGAAGTCGGGATGCCAGGGTCATAATCAAGAAAATAATTCTGTTCCAGCAGTGGGTCACAGAACTGTTTCAGGTGGTTGCAGAGTGGATGCAGAAAGTGAGCACTCGCTGGCTATCGCTTCGGAACTACTTGGCTTAGAGGTATCAGAGATGAAGATGGGCCTTGTGTCGAGGATCATGCAGGCGACAAAAGGCGGAGTGAAAGGCACTCTTATAAGGTCTGCTACCTTGATTTTGGAAGATTTCAATGTAAACAATTTACTTAAGAGTTCCGCTGAAACCACACGAAGCTGCTGCTGGACGAGATGCACTGGCAAAGGCGCTCTATTCGAAGCTGTTCGATTGGCTGGTAGCTCGAATCAATAAATCAATACCGTTTGAGAAAAGCATCAGCTACATTGGCGTACTTGATATAGCCGGTTTTGGTGAGGGGATTTCTTTCACCTTTATGGGAGAGCCACCGATTCACATGATCTGTCTGCTTTCAGAATTCTTCGAAGTGAATTCATTTGAGCAATTCTGCATCAACTACTGCAACGAAAAACTGCAGGACTTCTTCAACGAACGCATTCTGAAACAGGAACAGGAGCTGTATGCCAAAGAAGGATTGAATGTGCCAAAAATTGAGTACTCGGACAATCATGATTGTATAGGTGAGCACTCACTGAGCTGTCATTTCTGTCGTTGTGTCTGGTGTTTCAGAGGCAGATTCCGTGCTGACTGTGAGGGCGGAGACAGAGAACCATGTTGTAACACGCTTGTTCCCTCTGTTGTCTTAAAAAGAGGCGCGCACCAATGAGGAAGCCAAAAAAACTGTCTCTCCTCGCCAGTGTTGTCGGGACGTGAATTGAAGCTCTAAGGGAGGTCTTTCAGGTCGTGGCGCGCTTTTCGGAAATGATTTGTTGCATGTTGTAGAGGTCCGAATAAGGATCACAAAAATGGGTTTCATTTTTGCTATGCGTTTCTGGGTAGGTCAAAAACTGAGTGCAAAGTTTGCTGGGAGAAGCCGATTGTGATACCATTTTTCGAGGCTTTTTTATTCATAATGTTAAGTATGCATAGCAGATGAGACCTTCGTCGACACTGCATCGAAAACAATACAATTCAAGGTAAAAAAAGTACTTTATTTGGCACATAGTGAGGCAGCATTGTAGTTTCTCAAGAGATTCTCGCAGCATCCCAACCAGGGCTGGCGAGTGAGGGGGTTGCTCATGAGCCATGTGGCGCCAAATGACCTAGACGCCAATTTTAAAGGTCAGAATCGTCATCAGGGCCATTAATAACCTCTATATACAGACTTTCAGCAAGATTTTCTCCTCGAGATGAGCGCTACAGCCCTCGCGCGCGGGAATACGGCAGTCGGGGGTTTGGCCAACATTCAGTGTAGAATGCTCTTGCCAGGAACGTCGCGCTTGGCTGCTGGCCGTGGTCACAGAATGGGTGTCGTAATCCACAACCGAAAACATATAATAATCCGAAAAGGCAAAGAGTAGTCGCCAGACGGGAACCGATCAAGAACCTTCTTCGCGAGAGCCACATCACTATCCATCCAGCTATCGCCGACCACGAACAGCGCGCTTGCGTGAATCGTGTCAAGTAACTTCGGTATTACTCCCCTCCGTCCACTTTCTTATTGCCTTTACTTTGCTAATCTTTTCGATACATAGTGAAGGGAAACCTCATGAATTATGCACTGTCAAAGTTACAGCTACAACAGAGCCCATTAACACGGTTAAAATCGCGATTTCTCGTCAAATTGTTTTCACTCAGTTTTTGACCTCCCCAGAAACGCATAGCAAAAATGAAACCCATTTTTGTAAACCTTGCATGGACCCCTACAACAAGCAACAAACCATTTCTGAAAAACGCGCCACGACCTCAAAGACCTCCTGAAGGGCAACTTGTTCAAGCGATGTGTGGAAATTGATATCTCAGAAGCGCGTCTCTATAGATCTGCTATTACCTTTATTCTTCGTCCACTGCAGATGCTTGAGGCGTGGTAAGAGGCTGGGGGTTGGCGTGGCGCAGGCCGCCAACCCCTTCACCAATGTGCCGGAGTGGCAGGCGACCTTAATTGGTGGAAACTAGCTGGGCCGCGTCAAACTCCGCCTCCCCCTGACACGCTCAAGCATCCAGCAGCGAACAAGGCTGTAAGTGGAACAGTGACATTCATCGGTAAGGTATGAGTCCGCAATCGCTGGAACTGTACTGATTCGGGTGGGCCAGAGCTGAAGTAGGGTCATTTGGAGTTTCATTTTTTGGAAGAATGTCCTTTGAATCGTGTCCCCTTGAATGACGTGAGTTTCGTTCCCTTCCCCTATGCTCTCTCCACTAATTTCTTACTCTGTCTTCTTCTTGGGCCAAACTATTTTTGGCAACTTCCCTAGAAAAAAGTCACGGATTGAAAGCCATAGTTCAAACCCTTCATCTTACTCTGCTGTGGAAATTGCCTCGAATAATGTTCTAAGCCATCAACCTTAGAGAATTGAACCCAAAAAACACTTGGCTTATTTTCTTTGATTTGCATTTGTCATGTGCTGAGGTGGAGTTCTCAACTAAAGTTCTATCATTTTAAGAGCTTTTCGAGAAGAAACCATCTGGTCTGCTCGATCTACTCGATGAGGAGTCTCGCCTGCCTCGACCCACACCTCAGCACTATACGCTGGCGGCTTATGACTCAAACAAAGGACATTTCCGCTTGGAGGTTAGCTCAGTGCTTCATTATTGTTTGTCTTCATTTTGTAAAATAGAGCACCACCATGGTCAGACGAGTACATGCATAGAAGGGGGAGGGTCGTATAGCGGTAAAGTGCTGCTTTCCAAGCAATCGTATTTCGAAGTGGTCATGGTGTGCGGGTATGTGACATGATACCGCTTGATGGGAGTGACGAGCGGACGCCGCGAACGCGAAGGAAACGAGGTTATCTGCCTGGTTCTTCCGCTTTAGGAGGTCAATAGTGAGAAATCCAATATAGCCGCTACAGGTATTGTGTTTTGTTATGAGTCACGCTGCTCCGTCTACAACTGAGGCTCATCTAGAAATTGGCCGCATGCCGCAGGTTATGGACCAGCACCGCTGACTCGGGCGGTCCCGGACAAATTTTGATTTTTCTGCCCTTTAACATTCAGTTCTGCGGACGACTTGCTGCAAGACATTCCTCCTGTCGGCGCCGGACTGCTGCGGTCGCTTGCCGTAACGCCCACCAGAGTTGCATATTACGATGTGGGTTGTCCACTCCCTATAGTATGTTGGCGCCAAGCTGTCACGCCGGACTGGCCGAGCGGCGGGGCTCTGCGCGGTCGGCGAGATAAAAACAGTCGTATGCCAGGTAGACTGGCTTCCAGTTGCTGACTGGTGTAACACTGCTGGTCAGGGTACGCATCGGTATCTGTGAAAATGAGTGGTGTCGGTACAACATCCCCCGCCCCATCTAAGAGAGGGGTCGCGTATGACCCCAGGCGATAAGGGAGTGCGGATAGAGACAATGTGAAGCCGGAATAATTCGCAATAAGTTAACAAACGATAAAGTTTGTTCGGCAACATCGAATTTCTCCTAGAGCGCCCATACGGACCATCTCCCTTCCAAAGAACAATGCGAACCCCCCCTCCCAGCGGAAAAGCACGACCCCCCCTTATCTGTTTCAGCACATCGATGCTGCTATCCTGTCCGCTTATACACAGTCAATGGAGCAGGCTTATAGAATCAAAGTGGTCATTAATGCTAACCAGCTTCATACTGATTTGAATTTTTGCTGAGGAATTGTTCAGAGTCCACGTCGTTCACGTCTTCGACAGCATCGCGATCTCCGTGAAGACGAAGCATTCCTCGTTCGCCACTATGCTGGTACCGTCTGTTATCAGACGGCCCAATTCCTGGACAAGAATAACGACACACTGCACAACTCGTTGGAATTCCTTGTGGAACAGAGCAGGTTTGTGGGTTCTCCCTTATAAATTTTTAGTCACTCCGACGTTTGCACCATCGCATTCCGGTTCTGAATTTGAAAGTAGAATTACTGAAAAATCATAACCCTCGAGATGTGGGCCGCCCCAGGTTGTACAAGGGGGGGGGGATCCTGCACGTCGGGTGAACGCGGGCGCTGTACACTCATCCCCTGTATCCTGGTTCATATGCGGAGTGAATGGGTCCGCAGCTGTAACAGCGCGCATCATTTTCCTAGACAAGGACAGCCAAAAAAACTCGTTAAAAAAGCCAGAAAAAGCATCCGCGGCATTCCAGACGAAGCCTAGAGCCCAGAAATTAGTGCAATATTACTAGGAAATCAAGCTATCAACAAATTGATGCTTTATTTAGCACTTTTTCTTACTTCCGTCAGATTGTATGTACTTCCCTGTTTCAGTGTGAATTTCGTCCGCACTCTATTTGAAGGCAGTCATGCAACCTGAAGCGGCTCCAGGGCGACGATCAGGTGGCGGACGACTTCAAGCGGCAACTGTTGGAGGGAAATTCCGTTCTCAACTCTCAGTACTGTTGGAGAAACTGAAAGAAACGGTAATAGTAGGCAGCTTTACGGAAATTGTCACCCTTGTGCTTTTTACCCTTCGCGTTTGCGGCTAAGAAATGGGTTTTGGGCGCTAATTGCCGTACAGGTGCGAGCCTACTTTTCGAAAGTGATAGACAGTTCCAGGAAAGGCGAAGAGGCTACATTTCCATCGAAATTTACCCATGGTGTTAACAGAGTGCTTAGTCCTTTCCTTTCAGGGAACCCACTTCGTACGTTGTGTCAAGCCGAACTCAACGATGAGTTCCGGCGTTTGCGATGGTGCGGCCATACTGTCGCAGCTGAAATGTGCTGGAATGGCCAGTGTACTGAAACTGATGCAGAAAGGATTCCCATCGAGGTATAGCAACGATCTCATAGTCCTGATCCCACTTGAAATATTGTTCAGTCAAAGTTTGTAGTCTTGCTCGCTACGGATGCTGGGGATGTCGGGGGGCTGTGTTCGGCGCATCGCCAGCCAGTTCTTCGGTCATTTCGGTGGCCTGCCAGCTTGCACAATTGGTAGAGATCAGGCTGGCGCGGCTCCAAACCCGCCCCTTGGAACGCCCCAGCGTCCGCAGCGAGCAAGGCAGTAAATACAATCATAACCCTTCGGTGACACAGTTACCATAAGGAGAGGGGGGAGGGGAACTCGGACAGGGACACCCAACCTTTTTGTCTATCTCCTACGCCACCCTACTTCTTTACCACGTTAGAAGAAGGTGTGCATCTGGTGAAGCTTGAATGTCTCCGCCCACATGAGCATCGAGTGTTATGATTCGAAGGAATCCACAAGTGAACTTTCCATCAATCGTGTCATGACCACAAGCAAAATGGTAGAGTGTGGACGTGACCAGGGAGTAGCATGAGGATGGGAGAAACACCCGTGTCAGGAAAATCTCCCCCTAATTTCTTCCTCTGGTAAAGCCGTTTCCCTCCCCTAATTTCTTCCTCAGGTAAAGCCCTTTCCATCCTCCTCCCATCATAGCTCCCATCTGCCAGTGTTTTCCCAGATTCTCGCCACTTTTTTTCCAGTTCTCCACAAATTTTTCTGGAAAAACTGCCGTCAAGCTGGGAAGTTCAGAAAAATCCTGAAAAGTTCATTTAGGGGAGACCGGTCAGGTTAGGGGATACGACCCCCATCGACCATGTACGACCCCAGAACGTCCAAGTAGGACCTCTCCCCTTCCAGGTGGAATCTACCCAACGATTGCTGTACCCTAAATGTATCTTTTCGACTTTGAGCGCTCGTCAGATCCAGCATAAGCCAAGGCCTGCTAAATCCGCTCGAACTCCGGAGGGGTGAGCCGTAGATCGGGGCCTGTAATGTCATTTATCTATGACCCTGAGGGATATCTTTGGCCTCTGAGGCTCCAATGAAAGCGCTGAGGCTGAAATTATAGCCAAATGGAGCATGATGCTGCTGTCTAATCTTTGCTTTACCAACACATTAAAACGATTCATGACAGTAGAATGAATGAATCAACAACTGTATAAAGAAATATGTAAATAATAAATAAATAAGCAAGAAGATCCATACCGGCTCATTTTCAAGGACATCATTTGCGGATCTCTACGACATGTATCAACGACAGCTACCTCCAGATTTGGCACGTCTTGATCCTAGGCTCTTCTGCAAGGTGAGCTGGAAAGAACCTAATGATACCCTTCGACAGTAAGGTGTATCGGTGACTCTCCAGACTTTTTCAGAATGAGCTTCACCTGCTACTTCATTTATTTCAGTGCCTTTTCCATGCTCTCGGCCTGAACAATATCGATTTCAAATTTGGCCAAACCAAGGTGTTCTTCAGACCGGGCAAATTCGCCGAGTTTGATCAGGTATGTGGTCGACTGGTCATAAGCTGGAACTATTTTCCAAGAATGGCTTGTCTTGCCATTGCCGAAAAATTACGCGAAAAGCGACCTCTTCAAAATTTCATTCTGTGGTGACCCCTCCTTACGCCATTCTCCATCTTATCATCTTCCTGTTTCCTAGTACATACTTTCCAGAGTTTACTTCCCTCGAGAAGGAGTGGGTCTGGGGACTTTCAGTGTACGGTACGACTTGCCCTACTTATCACAAGGAATGTGAATGTGTGAAAAAAAAGAAAAGTTCATTATTCTAAGGCCAAGTTTGCGGTGATTGCAGGGGCGGAGTCACGCCCACCATTGTGCCTTTTTTATTGGTGCACCCCTCTCTGTGGCAAAGTCAAGAAATCCGTTGGGGTCTGTCACCACCCATGCGGGAATCGCGGAATGTGCCTCCAACTAAAATGTTTGTAACATCACCTTCACATGCCGTGCATCCAGGCGGAATACATTTTAAATACAGAATTCAATGGATTCTTTGGTATGCCATGAATAATGAGTGGCGCAGAACTACGGCACTTTCCACTATATTGCTGGTGACGTGGCTTTCCCACGAAAAACCAGCGCCCACTCACACGTTGATAGCACCATTAAGCACGTCTCATGTTCAAAACTGATGAGTTATGCGGGTCTTAAAGTAAAGGCAAAACAGTAAATAATACAAGCGTGAGGAAAAAGCACTAAAATTGCACTCAAAATGATTCGTATGGAACCGCATGCTAGCACGAACAAACAAAGAAACAAGGGGCGTGGTCGGACGAGCTCTCACTTGTTGCTGCTAGCTCTTTCTTATCACCTCACTCTCACAGTTCAAGATGGGGAAGTTAGCGGGACACACCGCAACACCAGGATCTTCGAAATGAAAGTCTGGGCGTTGCCATGACTAATGGGCGGGGCGGTGCCTTTGTCGCCTGCGGGTCGCGTTTAACTCACATATTTTTGGAGCTGCGAAAGCAGATCATTCTCCATCCTGCTTGCGGACAAGACTACTATGCTCAAGGAAGGCGCATGAACATCAAATGAACGCGGAGCGTGTCTTCAAACTTTATGAGGGAGGGCTGGATAGGATCTGGAAACAGTCTGATGCAAATGTAGAAGTTAGTGGTATTAACTATGTAAGGAGTACTTGTACTAGT